GGGCTGTGTGTGCTGGCGAGTGCGCGGCCGCTGCCTCTGCTGCTCGGCGCGGCTCGGAGCCGGGGCACGACACGCGGGGCTGTTCCTCGCCAGCACGAAGCCTCAGCCTGAGCCAGCGAGGCAGGGCTGTCATGAAACATTCATAGGAGCTTCCCTGAGTAAATAGCGTGAAAAAGTCGTGGATCTTTTGAGCAATAAGCCATCGGCTGTATCTTTTGGGGACAGAGACGTATGTAAATACGAAAAGTCTGTCTTTCATGAGACAGCTACTGAAGTCTGCTTCAGCTGCCTTTGTTTTGAGATGTGCCGAAAGGGGTACTCGGTCTCATCTCTCCTGGAGGGGAAGTTAGGCTTCTAACTCACTTAACTGGAGAAAGCCAACAGGTATTTCTTGGTGGGGTATAATCAGCCAGAGAAACAGTCGGCACAGCCGGCGAACTGCCCGTGCAGACAAGGCTGTGTGACATACTGGTCACCTGGGGCCTTGCGCAGGGACCCTGGATGCTGCTGCCATACCAGGATTCTCTGGTGGTGGGGATGATCTCTGACTGTGCACCTTGCAGCCTGGGTCTAATTTCTGTAACAACTTTTGAATTTGTATTTGAGTGTTGGGAATTTGACAGCTTTTACAAACTTAGCCACGGGTCTGGAGCATTTCTGTTTTAGTAGTGCGTTCCAGGGATTGTGAGCAGACTGCGGCCAGGATGGTCTCGGGTGCCAGGCGGGCAAGAGGCAGGTTTACGCACAAGGCGAGTTGTGTGTTCCCCTGTCCTGTGCCCGCAGCTGCCGGTGCTGCTCTGAGCACAGCCTCTGCGTCTGGCTGGGATGGGTTAGCAGGAGGGAGCCTGCTGATGGCTGTCAGCTAGGGCATCTACCTCTGCTGTGGGCTGTGGCTATTTCATCTGTAACCGGGGCCTCCCAAAGTTTCGGTGTGATTTCCCCCTCACTTCCCTGGGTAATACAATGAAGGTGATCCTGGTGCCATCCCTGCCTGGTTTCCTCTCCGGTGCAGCATCTCAGTTGAGGACTGGCAGCACTCGTCAACCTCGGGTGCGATGACGGCAGTGGAGCGTCTGCTGGGTCAAAGGAAAAAGTGGATGCAGCAGCATAAGCAATTTCTGTTCTATCTCTGCTGCGAGAGCTCTGTATCGGTAAGAAAAGCGTCTCGTGCCCCAACATGGGACAGCTGGTATCTGAGCCACCAGTTAGAAAGTCTTCGCTTCCCACAGGCTGCCAGCCAGGCATCTCTCAGCAACAAGAAATTACATGGAAAATCAGAAGCTGAACCCAAGGTCTTGTCTCCCCAAATGTACCCGCTAACACGAAGTGGCTGGTCAGCCTTCCTGCTGCCCGTGCTGAGGTCTGTCTGTGCCTCGGAGCCCACCGCAGGCAGGGCTGGCTGCCAGCCTGCAGCCCCCTGCTTGCCCCACGGCCTAGCGACTGCTGCTGCTCCTCAGCAGTGCAGCAAAATGATGGGAGGGGAAAGCAGGGGCGACAGCAGGTGGAAGATGGGTTTGAGAGATGAGGCAGCTCAGCAGCTGCTGACCTCGCTCTGCGCAGTGCTGGGGAGGGGTGGGAGTGTTCCCCTGAGGCTCCCCAGCCTTGAGCAGCATGCTCCTGGCAGCAGGGGAGTGGGGAGGGGGGCTGCTGAGCAATCATCCTCACCTGCTGCGAGGGCCCTAGCAGGGGGAGAGGGGGGCCCTGGAACAAGGAGTCCCTTCAGTGTGGCTGCGCGTGCACGGTGTGGTGCCAGGAGCGTGCGGAGGGAAACCCGAGCGGGTTCGCAGCAGACCTGTGTGCTGGGCTGCTGGGGCTCAGCAGCAGCCCGGACTAGCAGCTGCCCTGCTCCTTGCTGTCATGGTGAGCAGTGCTTCCTCGCCTTGCGCCCTGCTGCAGCAGCCAGCCTAGGCGGTGGTAGCATCACTTGTAAGCTTGTCCCTTTCCACAAGACGTGGTCTTTGCTGCTGATCTGCTCCTGGGACTCTGCTCCTCTCCGTAGACCCCAGCCTTAGCTGAGCAGTTTCCCGACAACCCACCTTGCATTGAGGACACCATGCAAAGCCTCAAGAACCTGACAGCAGAGCCAAGGAAGGAATCAAGGAGGACGCAGACCTCCCCAGGACACGGTGGGTGAGCTATTTATGGGCTTTGGGAAGGAGTCTTGACTTCCCGCAGAATGCATGGCTTTAGCTCACCTCCTCCTGGCATTGCAGACAAAGGATTGGGTGAGTCCTAGAAACAGGCGTGTGGCAACCCAGAGGCTTCACCGGGGGTTGACAATGCTGTGAGAAACACAAGACCGCATTAATCCTCTTT